CGGCTCAGCGCCGCTTCACATCTGAGCCGGGTTCCAGCCCCGGAAGGCGAGAGCCGCTCGCGGGGTCGAGTACAGAGCTTTAGTCTTCGTGGATAAAAAGAGATTAAAGGCTAAATTCTTTTTTTGGGTGTGTGTGTGTGTGGGGGGGGGTTATCAATTTTAACCAACTACGAAAATGTAGAGCTTTTTATCCTTTGATGTTCTTATAAAGAAACTCCTATCGGTTGAGGAATTACACGGTTTCTGAGCCAACACTGCAGCTACAGTGTGGGGGAAATTATTTAATTAAAAATATATTTTTCCATCTGTTCACATGATCTTTTTAGAAGTACTTAAAAAGCTGACACTGATCCCTTTGGCCTGTTAACCCTGCCCTAAGTTTCAAATACTTTAGCTATTTCGAAGGCCCTTCCATTAATTTTAAGGGGAAAAATAAAAGAGACCCAAATATTTAAATACCCCCCTAAACATTTACTGTTCTGCATCCTGCTTTTTTTTTTCTTTAAATAGGAGCTTTTGTGTGATTGACATATTTCACACTGCCGATTCTGCAAAGCCAGGTATAAATGACAAGAAGCGGCTCTTAAAAAAAGCTGATGTTGGACTACATAACACCCATGTATAAGATGAAATCTAAATAATATTGTAATCCACCCACCCCCACCCTAACTTAAAAAAAAAAAAAACCTTCACCTGTATTTAAATAGCGTGTCTTTAATTACAGCAGTTGGGGATGCATGAGGCTGAAATGAAATTAGCAGTCATTACCAGTCCTTTAACTCTGTGGTGCTTTTGATCAGCACTAAATTAGCTTTCCAGTCCTAACAAAGACTCTACAGCAAGCAGTGGGCTGTAAATAAGACAGCGCGACCTGCCCTCAACACCTTTTCTCTTGTCAATCATAGCTCTATCATTCAGCCCAAGATTAACCTTTATCTACCAAATTTAAGGAAAAAAAAAAAAGAACGAAAGAAAGAAGAAAAAGAAAAAAGAAAAAGGAGGCGGGAAGGAAAGCCCCCTGACCACCACATGTCGCAATAACAGAGGTTCCTAAGAGGCCCCCTTAAATTGTGTTCTAATGAGCCTGTGTCAGAATCTGCAATTTCCAAATCATCCCTCCCCACCTCAGCCCCCAAGACCTCTCCAACATATTAGAAGAGTCAGAATGCTGTTCAGGTAGGAAAGGAATCCCTTTCTGCGAATTACTAATTGAGTTTGGGCCACCCTCAATAAGTCAATCTGCCATTACCCCTTTCCTCCTCTATTAGTCTAACAAAATTTGTGGAGAGGAGGGGATGTTTGAGGAGAAAACATTGATAATTTTAAGGCATATACATAAGTTTCTGGGATGAAAACAATCAATTTACTCCACTAATAGTATCTAGTTTCTAAGCCTGCGGAGAAAAACCACCAACAGCAACAACAAAAACCCAGCTGCTTTTCCTAGTACTGAATTAAGAAAGTAAAACATTGGTTCCGATTGCCATTAGAGGGCGCCAGAGAGCAAGCCCCATCACCTCTCGCACAACTTCCCACCGAAGCCCTCCTAGCTTCCAGCTCCGCCATGCTCTGTGATTCCTTCTCTCAGGTAATATTTCCTGCTTCTCCTGTCCTCTTGTATCTCTAGCCCCTTCAATGTCAGTCTCTCATAAAGAATGAGGTATCGCCATGTCCTCTTCCTTCTCTTTTTTCACACCCCCACCCCAACCACCACCAAAATAGTAAGACGCCAGATCAAAGAGTAGCAACCCCTTAATGATATGTACCTTTTGGTTCAAATCACTCTTTCCATTCTGTGTGACCTTGGTCTGGAGAAGGGTGTTTTTTTGTTTGGTTTTGGTTTTGTTTTGGTTTTGTTTTTTTTCTCTGTGTGTGTGTGTGTGTGTGTGTGTGTGTGTGTTTGTAGGGATGAGATGCTAGCATTTGACATTTTTAAGATGGAAGCCTGAGTTTTTCATTTCTGCATCTCTCTCTGGGGGCTCACGGGTTTCTTTATTTTCAAAGGAAAAAGAAACACACACCCTTGCAAGGCAACTGATTATGTTCAGCACTAAAACTGTTCAGAAGAGAATAAAATAATGTCTTCACTTCTGCATTTGTTAAAGAAATCACAATTAGCATTTAATTCCAAAAGTTAACGCTTTCAGACTTAAATCTGTCTGTGTTAAATGACTGTTACACAGGGTGTATTTCCAGATCTCTTAAAGGTCAAAAGAAAAAAAAAAGAATGAGAGGGGAAGAAAGTGAGTTGGGGGGGTGGGCGGAGAGGAGTGAGCTAGCAGTGAATGTCAAAGTTGGGTTGCAAGCTACTTACATGTCCATGCCAGATCAGGGTGTTGTCTTGTAGCAGTTTGATTGGCAGGTAAAAAAGCGAAAGAACGTGAGGACTCCCTGAGCCTCTTGTCAGCCCAAGCTTGATCACTTCTCACCGGACAGAACGAGTTGAAGGAGCCTGCAGTTCCCCTCTCGTCCTCCATCCAAGGCACCGTGAATCCATTTCGGCTTTTCTTCCCCCCAGTCTCTCCATCAGCCTCCTGCCTTCACCCGCTTCGCCTTACACCAGCCTCCAAGACCTAGCCTAGCTTTGCCACTGCAATCCCCTGCAACAAGAAAAATCGTTTATGGCTTAAAACCCCAAATGGCTGATTTTTTAAAAGAGAGAGAGAGAGAGAGAGGGAGAGGGAGAGAGGGAGAGAGAGAGAGAGGGTGAGGGGGAGAGAGGGGGAGCGAGAAGAATGCACCCAGAGAACAACAAAAAAGTCAGTTATCCTAACACTGCTCTATCCCCCCACCGTACAGAAGAAGAATAAAAAAAAAAAAAAAAGCTTTATGTTTTTTCAGTGGGTATTCAAAGATAATTTGATGCCATTGTTTCTGCTACAGATGGTTCTTTTAAATACAATAACACGGCTCTTTGTGCAGGCTACCCACAATAAAAATCGAAAGCGTTCCCCTGAATAACCATTTTGTTCTCTCTTGTATGGGGCCAACAAAAGATGCCGTGAGGTAATGGGTTCTGTTTATTGAAGCCATAGAATAGGGGTTTGATAAAGATTTTTTTAAAGCAGAAGACCTTGCAAGGTCGGGCTGATCTCTTCATATTTTTTTTATTAAAATATTTGTCCAATAGATTATTCCTTGGTGCAGCTGCAGGTTTCCTCCTCAATTTTTAATCAGCCTAAACATCTGTCTCTTTGAGGAGGCTTAAAAAAAAAAATCTGTGATTGTATCAATGGTGCAGTAACCTTATCAAATCCTGAGTTTTTAGGCTGAGTGCAGGCAAAGGCAATGGGAGTTTCAATGCTATTTGGTCCTGATGGGTGAGATGGAGGGTTGAGGGAGAGGAGACACAACAACCCCAGACAGAGTGACTGAAGAAAACAAGGCTTTCCTCCTGCACCCCACTCTCCTGTTGACCATGTACAACTTGCATGAGTCAGACACACAGATCACCCAGGACTCGAGGCATCTCTCCTGATCTCTGCAAGCGTCCACCCATGCTTGCATGTTGGACGGGGGCTAGGCATGTTTTCTTACCATGCTTGTCTTCTCTTAGATCTCCAACCCTGAAAACCTAGGATTGGAGCCCAGGGGGAGGAGTGGAACAAGCTAAAGGCTAGTCTCTAGCACCCAAAGGGTCCCATTCTCGGCTCTCTTTCATTCACTGTTAGCTAGCTTTGACTCACTGATTGCTATCCTGCCCGGGGACTGGTGGCCACAGCCTGCCTGTTATAGTGCCCCATCCCCTCAGGCTTGTTCTTACAGCCACCCTGCTTCCTCTTCAGTTCTCACAGAGCGTCAGCTTCCCCCAAGTGGGGAAGCCCTGCCACCTAGACCTAGCTGAGGTCAGTAGCAATTTTGAGAGAGCCTTGAACTCTGAGGCAATGAGGTGCTGCAGGGGGAGATGGCTGGGTTTGTCTACCTTCCTATAGGAATTAATGCCAGGGCTCTCCAGGCCTCCAATAGCCCAGAATGACAGTAATCCACTTTCATGACTTGCGCTCTCTGTGTCGTCACTTGTGGCAAGACAATAGTCTGGGAAAATGGCTTTAGTCATAAAAACAAATTGTCACTGGGTTCTCTATCTCTGCCCCCTGCCCCATTTAGTCCTCCTTTTCTTCCCACAAACCATTCAATAAATATATTAAACAAATAAATAAAATGAATAAAATAAAGACAAACGCTCAAATGAATCCCTTGACAAAACCGAGCTTAGCTTCCACTTTCCCTTTTGGAAACAATAATGTTATTGGTTTAGAACTGGTCTAGAAGTCATCTACTAAGGGATTCTTGGAGACTGTTACTTAGACACCTGTTACAGTCTTCCCTATGAAACTTGAAAAACAAACGCAAACAAAATAGCAGAAAATTGAACAAATGTTCGCCTGGTTGTTTCTCAATAATTCATTTTTTTTAATCTCAGGGCGAACACCTTAATACCAGTTTGAAAAGAACAAAAGTCAGGGAGGGCAATACCCAAAAAGTTATGCACCCCATCCGGATCAAGAAAAGTGTATTTGTAAGTGTCAGTGCATTGGGGAGGGGAAGTGAAGACTGTCAATCAAGAGCTTCCTCCAATAGAACAGGCTAAGTAAGGATTGTGTACCTGTGACTTCTGGCCTTGTAGGAAAGGTAGGGAGCATTATGCAAAATTGAAAGTCAATAGTGGAAACACGTCTTCCAACTGAAGGAGGAGTGGGAGAGAGCAAATGTAAAATGTTTAATCCAGTGTTCCTAACTTTGCACTAAAAAAGTGATCCACTGAAATAACGGAATGACCTTTTCCTGCTTCCCTTGTCATATTTTTTCTAAATATCAAAACTTATAAGAGATGCTCCAACCTCATAAAAAAGCTATTTTTCTTCTTATAATGAACTGAGAGAAGAATCTGAATTACTGTCCTCTCTCCACTGAAGGAGGGGTTTGGGGCTGAAGCTAAGTTTGTAAGACAGGAAGGCATCAGACAGTAGCCTCAGGTGACTGAAAGTGGTAAACCTCACACATTTGATCAATTAAATCTATTCAATCCCAGCCATAAGAAAGTTTAAAATTTCTGTTGGCCTCATTCTCTTGTGAATGATCAGGAAGATAGTTTTGTAGGCAAGTCCCCAGAAGTTGTCTCATATGCTGTAATGCAGTGACATTCTATCTGACATGGGGGAAGACTTCAGCCTTGAACTAAAAACAAACAAACAAACAAAAATGTGGAATGTGTTAAGGTGAAGGGCCAAAGTGACATACTGCCCTGGTAGGTGAGGGAATCAAGAACCAGTTCTCTGCGACTGGAAAACTGCTTTTAAAATAACCTTTCTGTATCCAGAAACTAAGCTGACTGGTCAGCTCCTTTTCTCCGAGCAAACACTAACCACCAAAACGTTTCTAAGTTGTGGAAAAGGCTTTCTGACGAGGTTGGGGAGTCCGTGTGAACCGAGTTATGGGCGTTTATGGGTTGCTCTGAATTGGAAACTTCACTATTACCGAGACGTGGCGGGGCCAAAGCAGAGCTCTCCAATTCTACAAGCGCAAGCTGTGCTGGGGAGATGTGGGGTTGTTAACCCCGACTCCTGGACTGAGATGCCGGTGAGTGAGTGGCATTCAGAATTCAGGAAAGACGGAAGGGAGGGAGGGCAGGAAGAGGAAAAGATGGGAGGAAGGGAGAAAGGGAAAGAAAAGGTAGAAAGAGCATAAAAGGAGGATTTAAGCGGACTAATGGCAGAGAGGATTAGCAAGAGGGGCACCGGGGCGGGACCCGGTTTTAACTTGGCGAGTGCTGCCTGTAAGGAAAACACTGTACGCACGATCAGGGTCTGGATGTTTCAGCGACCCAATGGCCATACACACCACGACTTTCACAGATATGGCACAGTGTCCGGCTTTGGCCACCAGCTACCGTGCAAGCTACAGCCTCGCTCTCCCCAAGCAACCAATCGTCCACTAACTGGCCACTCTACCGTCTGCACGTGGAAGTCGCTCTCACTCGGACAACTCGGGCCCCCGGCCCCCCGGCCTGGCTCAGGCTCCGCGGTCGCGGCCTCCCGGCGCCGGCTCTCGCGGCGGCGGGGCGCGGGCCAGCAGGTTCTCCCCTGCGCGGGTCTGCCGGGCTCCGCAGGAGCGGCCGCGCCGGGTGGGAGGGGACGGCTGCTTCCCCATCTGCGGGGGCTGGTAACTGCGAGTGCTATCAAATATACCATGGGACTATGAACGTGTTGCTGCCCTCTACTCGCCCTCCTCGACTGCATTATTCACTCCCGCCGCCACTTGATGCACGCTTCCAAATGACCCGGCAGCGCCGCCAGGCAGACGTCTGTGCCGGCCGCGGCCCTGGGAAGGACGTGGTTCAGACGCGAGCTCCGCACATTCTAGGACCTAACCTGAGAGCGCGCGCGCGTGCGTTAAAGACTGGAAGCCCCATTTCTCAAATCCTCTGGAGCAAGCTTCTAGTAGGAGCCTCGACTTTCAGCGCTCCCCCATCGGTCCTTTCCGTGGCCGGGGAAAACCGAGGGACACCTGGGGCTGAGGAGGAACGCACGAGCCTTCGCAGACCCGGCGATCCTTCTCGGTCTTATGGGTCCTGCGGGACGGGTTAGCCTTGACCTACGTCGCTCGCGTTAGTAAGCGGGGGCTCGGCCGGCGGGCCGGCGGGCGTTCCCCGGGCCCGGGAGGAGCTGCGCCCCCACCGGCCCTCGCGCGCCGCCCCGTTTCCCGCGCTCTCCGCCCCGCATCTCGGTGCCGATCCGTCTGGGGCCCGCTAGGCCTGCAGCGCCCGGCGCGGCCCCGCCCCGGCCCCGAGAAGGAAGGTGAAGGGCCTTCCGCCGAGGGACAGGCGGTGCGGGCCGAGTGAGTCGAAGCCAGGCTCCCCGGGGCCGCCTGCAGGCCCAGGCTTTCCAGGCCGCCCTTCCCCACGGGCCTGGCGGGCCTGGCGGGCCTGGCGGGCCTCGGGGCTTCTCCGAGGCGCGCGCGGGCGGGCGGCTGGCAGGCCAAGCCCCCCCCCCTCCCCCCCAACTCTAGGCTCAAATGTCCAAGTGACGTTGGTAACCGCTCGTTCCTCCGCGCGAGCGCACAGCGTGGCCAGCTTGGTTTGTCCTCCAGTGCGCCGCGTGTAGAGACGCGAGCTCCGGAGAGCCCTGGGAGTGGTGGGAGGCGTGCACCCTCCCGGAGACCTGGTCCGTGGTCACCCCGGTGCTTCAGATATGGAAAGTTCGGGAACCGAGCTCCTGCCAACCAGGCAGCGGAGGGCAGCCCCCAGGCTGGCCAGCCCGACTTGGAAAGCCCAGGTGGCGAAGGTAGGAGCATAGGCTCCAAAGCGGCCTGCTTTTCCGGTGGCCAGATACTTAGCAGGACCTTCCTTCCTACCGGTGGGAAAACTTCGGAACTCTCTCAGGCTCCCTCAGTCTTTGTTTCAGGCGAAGACTGACACCAGGGACTAAAGAAAGGTGTGCTTTTATCACTAAGAGGAAAGTTGGAGGTAGTAGCAAGGCCTATGGCGCACATTCATCAATAGCCTCTTTTACATTTTCTTGTTATGGGGTGCTTGGCTCAATCAGAAGAACCTGCCACTCTTGATCTCCAGGTGGTGGGTTCGAGCCCCACGTTGGGTGTAGAGATTACTAAAACAATAAATAAATAAACTTAAAAAAATGTATTTTCTTGTTATGTATAAAATTAAGTTATACGCGCAGTCACACGTTTTGTGTTTATGTGTTAACAGTATTAATTTAAAAATGTTAAACACTTAAAATGTGCCACACATTTTGTGACACTTTTTTCTGATTTCTTACTTTACCAATAATTCAGAGTTTCAGTAAATGGAAATGTCTCTAGGCTCTCAACCTCTGAGTAACAGGGTAGTGGGACCATGGGATATTTGTCCTGTGTTTCTCTGGCATATTTTACCAGCACCATACTCCTGAAGTTGCTTCTTGCATCATTCTGAGATAAATCAACTTGCGTTTTGGGTAAAATATTATTAACTGGGGCGCCTGGGTGGCTCAGTCGGTTGAGCGTCCGACTTCAGCCAGGTCACGATCTCACGGTCCGTGAGTTCGAGCCCCGCGTCGGGCTCTGGCTGATGGCTCGGAGCCTGGAGCCTGTTTCCGATTCTGTGTCTCCCTCTCTCTCTGCCCCTCCCCCGTTCATGCTCTGTCTCTCTCTGTCCCAAAAATAAATAAAAAACGTTGAAAAAAAATAAAAAAAAAATACTTTTAACTTCTGCTGGACTTCAAGAATAACCCAACCTGGGGCTATTTTCCAAATGTACATCTTATGCAATACTGTAACTACCACCAGTACATAGTTGGATTTGATAGGCTTATATTTGGACCAAAATTCACATAGGGCAGTGCCCTGAGCACAGTTGCAGACCCAGTGCAAAAGCTGATATACATGAAAGTTTGAAGAAGTATCCCAAAGTGTGGTGATTACTCTTTCTCTATTGCAGAGGCCCAAGGAGAAGCAATGAGTCTGGGTGGCTTACTGATACATTCTTAGAGTAAATATTGTGATAAATTTTGGGAGAAGAGGAGCATGCCCTTTAGGGTTTTGACTGTGGAAAGGAGTTAATGAGCCGAGGAAAATGATTTTAGGCAGAATTTCTCTTTATACGTCCCTTCCAATCCCTTCTCCTATCATTCTCCCTTCACCCTTGAAGAAAGAGCAACATTCTGTTTGCTTCAGGGTAGAAAGAGGAAAGGAACTAACCTTTAGTGAGCATCTATTATTTATCAGATATTTTCTCTTATCTAACTCTCATAATAATCCTATAAAATTGGAACTATTAACCCCCCCCCCCCCCTTTTCTTTAACAGAGTAAGGGGAGATCCAGCTGGGTTAGATATCTATGGTTACACAGCTGGGAAACAGTAGATCTGGGTTTCAAATCTGTAATTCTAAAACCCAGACTGGTCTTTACAGTCTGGTGGACTGAGTCCAAATGGACTCAAGTAAGCATCATTGGTTACTGACTGTTGAGGGTACAGGAGGAAATTGGTTGTGAACAGTGTGTGGTCTTGTCTTTTTCTTCTTTCCTTTCTCTGGATGGCAGGCTCTCAGTTCTGGCCCTCATAGGATCTTTTGGCTGTGAAGAGATTGGCTTGAGGCAGGGATTATAAAAGTCTACGTCTTTTTCCTGTGTCATACCAAAGTTGGACCTAGAGTGTAAACTGAATTTTCTGAATAGGCATCTCAACCGGCATCAGGTTTAAGACTACCCACAGGCTGGCTTGACCAAGGTAATGATTTCATGAGGACAGACTCATACAGGTCAAACGAAGTGTATCACTCTTAAAACCCCAGCTTCAGCAACCAAAAGGGTGGGAGGGAAATACAGTAATAACAGAACACATGACTGCTAATTAACCTTATTAACAACTGCAAACCAGCTAACATTTATATTTTTATTTTCTCAGAAAGGCAATTAAATTTTTTTTTGCCTTCTATTAACTACCTTTCCCCTCCAGATAATCACCTATATCAAAACCATCCTTTAAAAGGTCAGTGGAAATTATTTTTAAGACATTCAAATATAAAAAAAGTATTGTTATTTTAATAGGCACTGTGGATAGTTTAATTTGTATCTTGTATTAAATTAAACATATGGTGAACAGGGTATAATAGATTTTCTGTAATTTAGCTGCCAATGTGGCAACAGCAGCCAGTTACTCTCACCAGCAGACTTGTCAGTGGTTTGTTTACTAGCTTATTTGAATTAAAATAAAGCTTCGCTTCTGCTGACTGCACATCATTATCTATGAGACCATAATCCTGCTAGCAAATCCTATATCTTCCAGAACTGGCTCTTTTGTTTGGGATTACTGAGAGCTTAGCCTATAACAAAGAGGAATAAGGCATCCCTCTCATCCTCATAATTAAGTGTGGGGACTAATTTAGAAACAAACCCAGAAAGATGTACTATTTGGAGTTATATTTCTATACAGAAGGAGGAGAAACAGGATAGGCCAAACACCCGATTGTTAACAGAATGTTTAAACTATTAAGCAAGTGTACTACAGGAATCCTGCTTGTTAAAATTAAGAGCAATAGCAAATAAGGCATTGATGGCCTTTGCACGGGGCAGTAATTCTGTATGAAGGATCTGAAGGTATGTTTGGGAAGAGGAAGTATTAGGGTGTCAAGTAGGAGAAGATGTGCTGTATGCTGTGTGAATGCCATTTATTTTGTTCTTCCATCATTCTGATAGGCTACACAGTCAATAGTTACTGTTAAGAGCAGAGTTATTAAAATGGCAAATAAACATAACTGAAATAAAAAGAACACTTTTTTATGCACTAGGAAAATAGGACTGTCATTGGAAATTGGTAACATTTACTTCCAAGGTGCATAAGACTTAGCAAAATGAAAAGAATGGATGATCTTTGCGCGCTTTTTCCAAATAACGCAAAACAAACACGCTTTCCATATGCTCAAAACAAATCTTCATGAATTCTGGCAGCCCAGTTCTATCTGTGTCTAAGGGAAGAATTGCCCAACTAGGACGTATATAAAAACAGCTTTTACAGTCCACAATCCATACATAAACTGATGCCTGTTTGTTAAAGAAGAGGGAAAACACAAGGGTTGATTTATCAATGTCTTTAACATTAATTGTCACAGATGGGAATTCTGAGGACCTCTGTGAAACCAAACCAGACCCTGGTGAATTATAAAGCAGGTCCTTAGACTTTAAAAAACATTTAGGCAAAGTGACAGTTCAGAACATCTGTTAGCCTTCTGTCTGAGTATAAACTAGATGTCATGGAGTGCACAGCTGTAGGCATTTTAGGCTTTTTTGCCAACATCTGTCACAGCAGTACAATAATATAGGTAATTATCAACACCTTATATAAACTGTTTGCTATTTTAATTTTTAGAAAGAGTAAAATTAGTGTTACAGTCCTTGGCAAAAATAATTGAGATGAATAGAATCATTTTTCTCTCGAAGATGAATAAACGATCTGATAATTCTTTGAAAACACACATTTTAAATATTTTCTGCAGCCAATATTGCTATTATGCTAAGCAAAAATTCTAAGTGATTTTTGTTTAAGTAAAGGCAAAAATACAAGGAAAATAAAAGGAAAGGTAGAAAGAGGCCAATAATTTGCTATTCAGAGCAACAAGACGATGTCTTGTGATAAAAATACGGAGTTTGTTAATACTCTACAACTGTGGCATTAACTGAGTCCATATTCATAAAGATTAAAGATTCAGTTTATAATGTGAGTTCAGTAAAATCTATAGTAATGAATTATAAAAATTTGTCTTCTTTTTCTTTCCTGGCTTTTCTCAGTCCTAGAAACTTGCAGAGAAATGGCATATAAAACTCTAATTCACATCCTGCCATCTCGGTAACTAAAGTTAATTTGAAAAGGGTCAGCACATCATAGAAATGCAAGGATCCTTTATTTTTTTTTGGTGCCACCTGGATATGGATCATCCACAGGGCTCATCCTAAGAGACCGGGCATTATTGTCTCATATCTGATTCCCTTGACCCTACAGTTGTTTTTCAGTTTAAAGGACTCGAAGCAGCAAGACTGTATTCCAAAGCACCTGTTCTGAGGAAGATGCCAGTCAATAATGTCTTATTGAAAGACCAGGCCCAGCTAGGGGAAATAAAGGAATTGAGCTGCAGTTGGATTTCATCATCTAAACATGCAATGTAATCTTAACCAATTCATTACACACTCCTTTTGTTTCCACTACAAAAGGGATGTTACCTTTGTCAGAGGTTGTAATTCCAGTATGTTCAAGCAAAGACAAGGGAGAAATTGAAAAAGTGCTATCAATTCTACCCATAGCCAGGAAGAACGGTAGGGTCAGAAGGTCATTATCACTGTCCCATGTACAGTTTAGACTAGACCACAGAAAGCTTAAGTTTCCACGTTGCAATAGAAAGGTATAGGTATAATAAAGGAGATTCTCACACAAAAATGCTAAATTAGAATAGGAGTAGGAAATCATATTCTTGAACACATATGATTTAGTGCATGAAGAATCAAATGAAGTGAATCTCTGGGCAATAGTTGCCAACCGATGCTTATAATTATGCTTTCGTGGGACAATCTTGTGAAGAAGGGAGATTTTATTAATGGGAGGCCACCATGGAAAAAAAATTTTTTTTGAGTCACAAATGTCAGTGTTCATTATCTAAAGGTCTAGAAAGGGTTGAATGAGAAAGAGAAGGAGGAAGTAAATATGGATATAAAAGGCAGACAAGTTGGCTAAAAAGGAAGGATTAAAAATGAAAGGGGCTAAAGAAAAAGTGTGATAGGTGCTGACAGAGAATAAGGTTGTGGGGCTTAGGGGGAGGAGCAAAAGAGGATATTGATTACCAAATGGAGTATTTGGGACCAAATGACAGTTTAGGGCCTATGAGTGTAAGCACTTCCTAATGAGAATGATCAGCTGTTAAGAAAGGAGTCTTGGAAAGAGAAACGTTTACAAATAATAGCTCAGTACTACAGTGCTAAAATATGTTAAAGTGGGTTCATTTGATATTTCTCAATTCCATATTTCTTTACCAGTGGGAAAAAACAATGTATTTGGACATCTAGGAAAAGGGGGAAAAAAGAGAAAGTAACTCATTTCCAAAACACCTTGAAAAATACTTTATTTTTAATGATGAATTCAACTCCTTAAGGGCATG